GTGAGCTGGGGTCAGTGGGGGGGGGGTCAGCTGGGGTCAGTGGGGGGGGTCAGCGGGGGGTCAGCTGGGGTCAGCTGGGGTCAGCGGGGGGGGTCAGTGGAGGGTCAGCTGGGGTCAGCGGGGGGGTCAGCTCAGACCACTGTCAGTTTGTTTGACGAGGGTCAGAATATATTTGAGTATTTTATTTTGTAAATTCAGTTTAAACTCTGTTGCTTCATTTGAATAACTCATTAATCTTTTATATATTTTATATATTTTAACAAACTGATGCTCAATGTTTATAATTATTGATCTGAATTCTTGTTTTAATAAAATAAACTTTATATCATCAAATATTTCAGATTAAAGTTAAACTTTATATTAAATAATGTTTCCATCATTATGTTGTTATTTTGTGTTTATAATAAATTTATAATAAATATTCTCCTCAGTCAGTCCAGGTGTGAACACACCGGTCTCGGTGCCGGTCTCGGTGCCGGTCTCGGTGCCGGTCTTACCTCCGGAACGCTTTCCCCATGCTCCCGTCCTCTCCCGGGCCCTGCCGGCCTCCCGCTGCGGGCCCCGCTGCTCTCCTGCCGGGACGCTGCTTCAGGTCCGGGTCGCTGTCCAGCAGAGTGGTCCCGCTGTCATTCTCCACAGTCAGCGAGTTATTCCGCTTTCTCATCACTGAAAACGTTAAATGACAAAAGAAACAAACGTTAACCGGAGGAGCACCGACTACCGGGGGCCTGTCAGCGGGGAGGAGGCCGTTAGCTGGCCGGGCGATGGAGCGGTGAGAGCCGGTGAGGACGGAGCCGAGTCCCCGCTGTGCCTGCACTGAGATCCGCAGAGAGCCGCTGAGCAGCCGCGAACTGCCGCAGCCAATCACAGCACGGAAACACCACCACGTGGTCGAGCTGTGCTGCGTCCACGACCCCTGGGGAGCGTCGGAGCGCAGAGTACCAAAACAAAAACCGGTTTACGGAAATCGGAAAAAAACTTAAGTAGTGCATGATGCCTTCAAGTGCACCTCGTTCTCTTACGGGGGGGTTGGATTAAATAGCAGAACGCAATACCAGATTGAACTGATACAAAGATTAAATTACATTCAAACGTTAATCTCATTAAAGTTAATCCTTCAGTGGATTTCACACGCACACAACTGTCACTAAATATTTACCATTTCAGAGCCAGCCTCGTTTCCCAGGTCACCTGAACGCAGCACGAGACGAAGTTAGCAGCTAAGCTAACGAGCTTAAACTAAAAGCGGCACAAACAAACGTCGATATCCACTTTTATACGGTTGTATAACGGCAGACAGTCGGTAGCTACGGCTCGGTGCAGCCTCTGGTGGCCCTCTGCCGTCGGTGAAAGCTGTCTGACGGGTTTATTTATAACCGGCTGCCGGTGGAAAGCTGTTCGCTAACCGGAAGTCAGACAAACATTAAAGTTATGGCGATAAACTGCGTTTCTCCTCTGAAAACTCTCAATAAATAAAGTTCACATTGTTACCTCCCAGTCTGCTGCAAAGAAAGCGGCTTCACCACATCATAATCTCCAATAAAACGTCGCTACTGTTCGGCTTTATGTTTGTCCCAACGAGGCCACCGGAGCGGCGCCTCTTCCGGTCACGTGACCACAACACGGAGCTCCGATTTTGCCGCGAAAACTGAACCGACGCGAGCAGCGAGCGTCACTGGTTTCCCGGTTAAATTGAGATTTTACTTAATAAAGTGTGTGTCAGTGTGTGTGTGACAGTGTGTGTGTGTCCGGTGTGTGTCCGGTGTGTGTCCGGTGTGTGTGACAGTGTGTGTGTGACAGTGTGTGTGTGTCCGGTGTGTGTGACAGTGTGTGTGTGTGTGTGTGACGGCGTCGGGATGTTCTGTGAGAAATCCGTCGAGTTGATCAGAGAACTTCACCGGATGGCCGACGGACAGCTGCCCGCTTTCAACGTGAGTCAGCCCCGTTCAGCAGCGCAGAGCTTCATTCAACAATCTGTCATTTTAAAGTTTTCCCGGTTATCAAAACACTCCGGCGGAGAAATGTTACCGACGGATGTAGATAGAAGAGTTCGGCACTCGGTCACATTTCGGCTCAAACCAAACCCACCAAACTACAGTTATTACAGTTATTACAGAGAACAAACTACCGACTGTCTCAGCAGGTTTACTACAGGGCGAAACAAAGCAACGTAAAAGAGTTAATATTCTTCAACATTTAATGCTGAGTCATCCACCTGATGTTAGTGTTACTATAAATGTGTCTGATCCTGGTCTACGTATTATAATAATAATAATAATAATTAAAGCTGCAAGCAGCGTTGAGCGGGACCTCGCACTCCACGCAACTTGGGGCGTGCTGCGGCCGCTTTGCATGCCGTCGTTACACGTGCGGACCAAAACATGACATTTCACGTAAATCAGCTCAAAATCTCCACACAGCGCTTACTTCCTGTTGCGGGTAGGTGGCGCTATCACTATGTCTTAATATTGTCATGTAGACAAGTTCAGGGCAGGACTGTTGTAACACACCTTAAGTTTCATTGAGATTGGACCACGTACGCTGAAGTTACGAGAACGTGTTCCGGGCGAGACTGTTACAGAATATATGAAGTTCACTGGAGATTGGACATTGCACACTGAAGTTATGAGTGCTATTTCATGGCGAATCCACTGAATTCGACAAGTCGTCACCGGCACGGTCCTTTCACGTGACGCAGCTCAAAATCGTAACGCAGCCCAAAATCGCCACGCAGCGCTTACTTCTTATTGCCAGTAGGTGGCGCTATCACTATGTCTGAATATTGTCATGTAGATGTGTTCAGAGTGGGACTGTTATCAAACACGTGAAGTTTCATTGAGATTGGATCATGAACGCTGAAGTTATGAGGACGTGTTCAGGGTGGGACTGTACACTGAAGTGGAGTATAGCACAACTTTTAATCATGAATGTCTTTAGATTGCGCTGATTAAATTGGAAGTTGATCCGATAAATTCCCTAGGAGGAGTTCGTTCAAATACAAGGCAGAAAATCACAGAAAATGAGCACGGAATGCAAAATGGCTGACTTTGATGCCAAGCCACGGACACGCCGTTTGATGGAATGTCGTAAATAGCACAACTTTTAATCATGAATGTCTTTAGATTGCGCTGATTAAATTTGAAGTAGATCCGATGAATTCCCTAGGAGGAGTTCGTTCAAATACAACGCGAAAAATCACAGAAAATGACCAAAAAAATCTAAATGGCTGACTTTGATGCCACGCCACGGACACGCCCTTCAACGTACATGCACAAATAGCACAACCTTTAATCAGAACCATTTTTTGAGTGTACTCACAAATTTTGAAGCAGATCTGATAAATTCCCTAGGAGGAGTTCGTTCAAATAAAACGCGAAAAGTTCGCCTAAAGTGAAACTTTAAATCAAAATGGCCGACTTCCTGTGGGGTTTGGAGTATGGGTCCAAGAGGCTTTTTTGTACGTCCTGGCATGTTACACGTGCCTACCGAGTTTCGTACATATCGGTGAAACGTGGCGCCGGGGCTTCTGTTTTTTTATCCTGTAGGGGGCGCTACACACATGACGAACACGATTTTTGGTATGTGAGCTTCAGGCACTACTCTACACGTGCCCTGTGAATTTCATATTAATAACTATTACGGTATTCGCACAGTGATTTACCATGCCAAAAGAGCGCCACCTAGTGGCGTATTTAGTTTTTCCTTTTTAAGGGAGCCTCAGGGAGCCAGGGGGAAGCAGCATACCAAGTTTCATCTTAATCACATATACCGTTGTAGAGATATAGACTTCTTCATTTTAAAGAGCGCCACCTAGTGGCAATGGCCTGAAAATGTACACCATGCTTAAGGAAGACATGTTGAACTATGGACCCAAGTTTGGTGTCAATCGGACATACCAATGTGGAGAAATGGTCCACTTCCTTTTTGACGAAAAATCTACAGGAAGTTGGAATTTTATAGCGTGCTTATTTTTTTAAATTTCAAAAATGTTCAAATTAGCCTTTTTGCCAGGGCGGTCCCCAGGTAGTAGGTGAAAAATTTCGTGTGAATCGGAAAAAGCGTTTAGGAGGAACACTTAAAAGTAGTTTATGGACATTTTGCGCTCTAGAAAAAAAAAATTCTAGGCGGAAGTGGGCGGGGCTTATATGGGGAGATTCAGCTCCATTCACCGAACACGTGGATGTAAGTTTTTTGAATGTGCGACAAAGTATGCAGAAGTTATTAGCCTTAACGTATTTTTTATGATAGTAGCGCCACCTAGTGGCAGACCCGAAAGCGACGCATGTAATATCCCCATTTTCACCAGGCCTGATCACTTTGCCAAATAAAATTGACTTTTCGTCTATGTTCAGGGGGGCAAAAATGCAGTCAATGGGGGCTAAAAATAATAATAGGTAAGAAGAAGAAATCGAGCAAAAACAATAGGGACCTCCAGCGGTCGCTTGCGAGGTCCCTAATAATAATAACATGAAAGGAAACATAAAATCGGCAGAATTGTGAATGGAGTTCGGATTGAACGTCTGACTTTAATGTTTGCAGGAGGATGGACTCCGGCAGGTTCTGCAGGAGATGGAAGCTCTTTATGAACAGAACCAGACTGATGTGTGAGTCCGGACTTTATACGATGTTATTATATTATGGGATAATATGAGTAAAGTTGCAACAGTGTGAGATATTAATGATAACCGGCTGCAAGTGAATGTGTCTGTAACAACAGGTTTATTATAGAGAGATCACGGTTTAATGATATACATATACATATTATTAGGGACCGAGCCAGTATGAACTGGAAGGTCTCTATTGTTTTTCCTTCGTTTATTATTATTATTATTATTATTTTTAGGCCACTTTAACTGCGATTTTGAGCCTTGCGCATTTACACACTCTCAATTTTATTTGGCAGATTTGTGAAGCCTCATTTAACTTAGAGATTCTATGCGTCACATGCGGATCAGCCAGTAGGTAGGACACTAGGTGGCGCTGTTTCGGCCGATTTTGAAAGGCTAATAACTCCCGCATAGTTTGTCTCACATTCAAAAACCTTATATCCACGCGTTCGGTGAATGGGGCTGAACCTCCCCATATAGGCCACGCCCACTTCCGCCTAGATTTTTTTTTTTCTAGAGCGCAAAATGTCCATAAATCACTTTTTCGTGTTCCTCCTACACACTTTGTCCGATGCGCACGAAACTTTGCACGTTTCATCTGTGGACCGTCCTGACAACAAAAGTAATTTGAAGAATTTTGATATTATAAAACATAAGGAAGTTATAAAATTAGCACTTCCTGTTGATTTTTCATCAAAAAAGGAAGTGGACCATTTCTCCACATTGGTATGTCCGATTTACACCAAGCTTGGGTCCATAGTTCCCCATGTCTTCCTTAGGCATCGTGCACAATTTCAGGTCATCACCACAAGGTGGCGCTCTTTAAAATGAAGGAGTTTATAGCTCTACAACGGTATGTGTGATTAAGATGAAACTTTGTATGCTGCTTCCCCATGGCTCCCTGAGGCTCACCTAAAAAGGAAAAAAAATCACGCCACTAGGTGGCACTCTGGTGGCAGGGTAAATCACTGTGCGGACACCGTAATAGTTATGAATATGAAAGTTATTGGGCACGTGTAGAGTGCTGCCTGAAGCTCACATACCAAAAATCGGGTTTCTCGTGCTTGTAGCGCCCCCTACAGGATAAAAATAAATCAGCCCCGGCGCCACGTTTCACCGATATATACGAAACTCAATAGGCATGTATAATGTGCCGGGGCGTACAAAAAAGCCTCTTGGACCCATACTTCAAATCCCACAGGAAGTCGGCTATTTTCGTTGAAAATTTGCACTTTTGGCAGCCATTTTGTGGTCATTTTGACCTTTTGGGCTTCTTTGTGAACTAACTGCTCCTAGGGAATTTATCGGATCTGCTTAAAAATTGGTCAGTACAGTCAAAACATGGTGCTGAATGAACGCATTATATTTGGTGACTGTACGTTGAAGGGCGTGTCCGTGGCGTGCCCTCAAAATTGGCCATTTTGAACAAATGTCACACTGTGATGTCATTTTGGCATTTCAGGGCTTCTATTTGAATGATGCCCTCCTACAGCTTCTATCGGATCTTCTTCAAAATTGGGCAGTCCAGTCACAACATGGTGCTGAATGAACGCATTATATTTTGTGACTGTACGTTGAAGGGCGTGTCCGTGGCGTGCCCTCAAAGTTGGCCATTTTGAACAAATGTCACACTGTGATGTCATTTTTGCATTTCAGGGCTTCTATTTGAATGATGCCCTCCTACAGCTTCTATCGGATCTTCTTCAAAATTGGGCAGTCCAGTCACAACATGGTGCTGAATGAACGCATTATATTTGGTGACTGTACGTTGAAGGGCGTGTCCGTGGCGTGCCCTCAAAGTTGGCCATTTTGAACAAATGTCACTCTGTGTTGTCATTTTGGCATTTCAGGGCTTCTATTTGAATGATTTCCTCTGACAGGTTCTAACGGATCTTCTTCAAAATTGGGCAGTACAGTCACAACATGGTGCTGAATGAACGCCTTTCATTTTGTGACTGTACGTTGAAGGGCGTGTCCGTGGCGTGCCGTCAAAGGTGGCCATTTTGAAGCCCGTGGTCCTGTATTTGAACAAACTCCTTGAGACTTGATCAGATCTGCTTCAAAACTTGACAGTACTCTTGAATAATCTTGCTGATTACAAGTTGTGCTATTTATGACTGTACGTTGAAGGGCGTGTCCCAGGTGTCTCGTCAAAGTTGGACATTTTGAATTCTGTGGTCTTTTTTTTCAAAGTGATGAAACACAAACACCCCTCCGCTCCCACTAGCCACATCTACAAACCATATTTCCTAGGGAGTATTGTTCGTGGAGCATAGTGTGAAACCGCTGGAAGTCACTTATTAAATTGCAAGATAAATAGGGGACTTATCAAATCGTCTTCAAAATTGGACAGTCTTATAAAACAAAGTGTTCATGAAGAATTGAGCTATTTGTGACTGTACGTCAAACTGCGTGCCACTGACCCCTTGTCGAATTCAGATGATTTTCCATTAAGCGGTACTCGTAACTTCAGTGTGCAATGTCCAATTTCCAATAAACTTCATATATTCTGTAACAGTCTCGCCCTGAACGCGTCCTCATAACATCAGCCTACGTATTACAGTCCCGCCCTGAACTTGTCTACGTGACAAGATTCAGATAAAGTGAAAGCACAGCATACTGGCACCAGGAAGGAAGCGCTGCGTGGCGATACGGAGCTGATTTGGAGCAGATTTACGTGACGTGTTCGCGTTGCGGTTCGCGCTTCTTACGAAGGCACGTGCGTGGCCTCGGCGCACCCCGACTGCACGTGACGCGTTTGCGGCGCCCCAACGAGCGCCGGGTGCGAGGTCCCGCCCAACGCTGCTTGCAGCTTTAATTGTTATTATTGTTATTGTTATTATTATTATTATTATTATCATTATCAGGTAAAAGCTGCTCCTGTTACTGTATG